TCCTGCTTCCTTAGTATAAATCCTTTTGAGCAGGGGTCCCCCCAACCCCTGGGCGGAGGACCAGTACTGTTCAGCGGCCTGTTAGGAACCAGGCCGCACAGCAGGTGAGCAGGGAGCAAGCAAGCAAAGCTTCATTTGGTGCTTCCCATCGCTTGCATGACTGCCTGAACCATCCCCCGCCCCCCTCGAAAAACTGTCGTCTTGAAACCAGTCCTGGTGCCAAAAAGGTTGGGGGCAGCTGCTTTTGAGTAAAAAAGACTGGATAAATTGGACTTTTCATGCTTTTGAAGTAGCTTTGCTGAACTGCTTCCCAGAAATGTTACGTTGTAGTGAGTAGAAAGATGGAGATAGAGTCAAGGGAGTTGAAAGGGCTACAAGCCTAAAGCGGCAAAATAGGAAAGGCAGAGGTTAAATACATGGCTGAAGGCGTAGTGACTGAGGACCAGGTGAGGTAAGAGATTTCCGGCAAGACGGTATTTTTGCACATCGGAACCTTGCTTAGGCTGATATCCCTCCCAAACCCTCTAGTCTCCTATTTTTCTCACCCAAATTACTGTTCTCTTCTACATGTTGCTACAAAATACAGTAGGTATATTTGAAGACCTTGAAAGGGAAGTTGTGTTGCTAAGCTTTGCGTTTTTAGGACTTCGCAGCTGCCTACAGTGAGCGTACAATAAATTGGAAGTTGAAGCCTTTTCTGTGATCTTGCGGTGGTACTCCAGGGCACAAAAGGGAAGGAAATCAGTCCGTCGAAATGTTCATAAGCTAAAGCAGGGGCTTCTGGAATGGCAGGGTCTCTCGACCCCAACACCGAGAAAATTGCCTTCTCTTAATTACCTGGCCCGGCAACACTGGAACTTCGGCCCAGGACTAATTTCTAGGTGGGGCCACGTAGAGGAGCAGTGCGCACGCGTGCGCAGGGCACGGCCGCCGACGTGATGCGCGCGGCGCGCGTGCGCAGCGGACCCGCATGGTGGCGCGTCTCCTTGTGGGGCTCCAGGGGTCGTGTTCTCGGCATGAGCACCTCGCTGTTGCCGCTGCTGACTCTGCTGTCCCTCCTCTCCGGCCCGTGGCTCGAACTAGGTCAGTGTGCTGGCCTGCCCAACTGCCCCTGTCGCCATTCGTCCCTGGAGGCAGGAGAAAAGGGGTGGGGCGCTCGGCCCCTGCGGGGAAAGACGATGGCTGGTCTGCCAGCGTTCTGCGCTATCTTGCAGCGGCCGGAGGTGCCTCCCAGAGGCGGCCAACTTGGCGAGGTGTATCTCACTTCTTTTTTAGTTTTAACTTATTCTGGAATCTTTTGAGCATAAAAAAAGAATAAAACGATCCTCTCCTGTCCACTATGTACCCGTTGCCTAGTTTAAACGGTTGCCAATTTATGGCTTTAATCTTGCTTCTTTGGGACCCTTCCCACTTTCTCCTTCCCCTGGGAAATTCATTTTGGAGTGAATCGAGGCACGATACAATTTTATTCCCCAGTATTTAACTTGAATAACCAAAAAGACAAGAAGTCACGGGAAAAAAAAGTATCACTTTCCCACCTAAAACATACCCGTACTCGTTAACACCATTAAACATCCAGTTAGTGTTCAAGTTCACCTACTGTAAATGTTTTAAAATTATAGTTTACTTGTTGAATTAGTGTCTAAATAAAATTAATATATTGCTAGTGTGTGTGTGTATGTGTGTGTGTTTTGTTTTGTTTTGGCTGTGTTGGGTCTTCATTGCTGCGCGTGGGCTTTAGTTGCCGCGAGCCGGGGGCTACTCTCTTTGTTGTGGTGTCCCGGCTTTTCATTGCGGTGGCTTCTCTTGTTGTGGAGCACGGGCTCTAGGCTCATGGCCTTCAGTAGTTGTGGCATGCAGGCTTAGTGGCTGTGGCTCAAGGGCTGTAGAGCACAGGTTTAGTAGTTGTGGGGCACACGCTTAGTTGCTATGCGGCATGTAGATCAGGGATCGAACCTGTCCCCCTGCATTGGCAGGCAGATTCTTAACCACTGCGCCACCAGGGGAGTCTCTGTGTGTTGTTTCTTAACTCCCTTTTAATCTGAGAATTTCCTGCTTTCTTTATTCCAACCCTCACCCCCCTTAAAGTGGACGAAAGCATGTGTGAGTGTGTCAGAATGAGAATGAGAAAAGGGCCAAAGATGGGATACTGGGGAACATGAAAAGATGACTCTGCCTTTAGGGAAATTATAGTACTTAGACACTGTTAGGTAGAAACATAACAAAATAGTATGTCAAGCCAGAGAAGTGTGACCTTTTGGAAATAGCACTGACCTGGAAGTAAGGAGACCTGGGTTTCTCCTGTTAACTAGCTCTTTAAGTCATTTCCCTTTTGGGTTTTGGTTTCCTCCTGTCATATGAGGGGGTTGAAATAAAGATCCTTTTAATTCTATGATTTTTGGAGGTATCCAAACAGGAAGTGTAAAGCAGTTCATTCAGTCATTTGATGATAATTATTGTGCACTTGTGCTAGGTGCCAGGGATACACTGGCAACAGATGTAGTTCTTTTCTTTCTGGAGCATATGATATAATGGTGAAAATCATTACGAATTGATAAGAGTTCAAACAAGTGAAAAGGAAGAGTCAGAGAAACATGCGCAGTAGTATGGGTAGAAAGTTGATAGATGTATCTCAGAGTATAGTGTCTAGATTTATCTCGCTGGGACAAAAGGTTGTCGTGCAGAAGAATAGAGAGGTAAGGAAAGGAACTAAACATTTGTTGAAAACCTACTGGGACTTACCTGGTGGTCCAGTGGTTAAGACTCTGTGCTCCCGGCAACTTCCCTGGTGCGCAGTGGTTAAGAATCCGCCTGCCAATGCAGGAGACACAGGTTCGAGCCCTGGTCTGGGAAGATCCCACATGCCGCGGAGCAACTAAGCCCGTGAGCCACAACTACTGAGCCTGCGTTCTGGAGCCTGTGAGCCACAACTACTGAGCCTGTGTGCTGCAACTACTGAAGCCCATGCACCTAGGGCCCATGCTCTGCAACAAGAGAAGCCACCGCAATAAGAAGCCTGCACACCACAACAAAGAGTAACCCCCGCTGACCGCAACTAGAGAAAGCCCGCGCACAGCAACGAAGACCCAACGCAGCCAAAAATAATAAATAAATAAAATTAAAAAAAAAAAAAAAGACTGTGCTCCCAATTCAGGGGGCCTGGGTTCGATCCTTGGTAAGGGAACTAGATCCCACATGTATGCCGGAACTAAGAGTTTGCATGCTGCAACTAAGACCCGGCGCAACCAAATAAAATTATTTTTTTAAAAAAAGAAAGAAAACCTACAAAGTGCTAAACATTTCACACATTATTTTAATACAGCCATGCATTTGAGTTAGATATTATCCCCATTTTGTAGATGAAGAAATTGAAGTCCAGACTAAGTAATTTGCCCAAGGTCACCAGCAAATTAAGTGACAGAACAAGAATTTAAAGCCAAAAATTTTTTTAAATAAATTTATTTATTTATTTAATTTTGGCTGCGTTGGGTCTTCGTTGCTGCACACGGTCTTTCTCTAGTTGCAGCGAGCACGGGCTACTCTTCATTGTGGTGTGTGGGCTTCTCATTGTGGTGGCTTCTCTTGTTGGGGAGCACGGGCTCTAGGCGTGTGGGCTTCAGTAGTTGTGGCGCAAGGGTTCAGTAGTTGTGGCTTGCGGGCTCTAGAGTGCAGGTTCAGTAGTTGTGGCACGCAGGCTTAGTTGCTCTGCGGCATGTGGGATCTTCCTAGACCAGGGCTCGAACCCATGTCCCCTGCAATGGCAGGCAGATTCTTAACCACTTCGTCACCAGGGAAGTCCTAAAGCCAAATTTTTAAAGCCTCCATTGTTTTTTTCATTATAGCATTATGAGTTTTACATATGATCCAAATACTGCCACTTCTTTTATATATATTCGACTCTTTTTTTCTCTGCAGGGAATGGGCAGATGACCAACATGGTCCAGCTACCAGGTGGGAGATTCCAGATGGGAACAAATTCACCAGATGGCAGAGATGGTGAAGGACCTGTCCGGGAGGTGACGGTAAAACCCTTTGCCATCGACATATTTCCTGTCACCAACAAAGACTTCAGGTACATCCAGTGTTCTTCCAGGAGAAGTAAAGGCTATTCTAATCTTCATAATATTTAAAAGGAGATTAGCTTGTTCACTACCATATATCATCTTTGCAATGGTACAGTGAGATAAGTGTTATCTACGTTTTTAAGATGAAGAATCTGAAGTCCAAGGACTTCCCTAGTGGCACAGTGGTTAAGAATCCGCCTGCCAATGCAGGGGACACGGGTTCCATCCCTGGTCTGGGAAGATCCCACATGCCGCGGAGCAACTAAACCCATGCGCCACAACTACTGAGCCTGTGCTCTAGAGCCCACGAGCCACAACTACTTAAGCCCTCACGCCGAGAGCCCATGCTCCACAACAAAGAGAAGCCACTGCAATGAGAAGCCCGTGCACCACAACGAAGAGTAGCCCCTGCTCACCGCAACTAGAGAAAGCCCGCATGCAGCAACGAAGACCCAACGCAGCCAAAATTTAAAAAAATATATATATATATCTGAAGTCCAAAGTTTCTGTTAGTGGCAGAGCTGAGCCTGGAACTCAGATCCTCTGACTCTTGAGCCAGTGGATTGTCCAGTGCACTGGGCATAGCACTGAGAAATATGGACAGAAGTCAGACACTCAACAGAAACCTCTGCAACAGGGGAGAAGGAATTGGGAGAAGGGTCATAGTAGCTGAGAGTCCCTTAAATTCCCTTTACATTTACTTAGGGAAATGGCATTGTTTCCAGAATCAAACATTTTGGTTCGAGCTTAATCTAAGAAGCCATGTTGAGCTGCGTCAGTGTCCCCAAGGTGATATGTTTTGGGTAGGTTAAAGTAGAAAATGATCCAGGACATATCTATAACTTACCTTCAAATGGTAGAGGAGGGAGTATAAAGGGAGGAGAGGGAAAGGAAGAGGAGGGGATGGGAAGACAATAAGCAAATGTGAGAAATGACTTACATGTTACATTTGTGGACTTAAAACTTTTCAGGGTAAAAAGTTTTGGGGAAAATTTGATTCAGAAGACACAGGCTGAAATAAGCATAAAGATTGTCAATATACTCCTCAGGCCTTTTGACTCATTGCTTCCACCTCTAGGGATTTGTCTCGAAGAATTAAAAGTTGTCCAGAAACATTTAGCTAAAAAACATTTAGCTATTGATACAACGCTAATACATTTACAGTGTCATCTTGTAAACAAATGTTAACAATTTTAGGATCACTTAAACATATTGTATCAATATACAGACTACTTAGCAGCCCTTAAAAATCCTGTTGTCAAAAAGAGATAGTTCTGAAGTGTTAAGTGAAGAAAGTAGGTTACAAAATACTAAATAGGGTATGATCCCATTTTTGAAAACTATATGTATAGAATGTATATGCGTTAAGAAAGACCTGGAAGATGCAACATGGCATTAGGTGACGGATTCTGCTCATGTTTTTGTGACTTCCAAAGGAAAATAATTACAGGAAGCACCTTCCGAAAGCTATTTAAAAATCCTTGGCTGTGGGGTGAAGGGGGAGAGAATATGGACAGGTATATCTTAGTTGGTGTGATAATGGATGATTTTAGTTTTTTTCTTTTTACCTACCTCTGTTTCCTTGTTTTTCTATAATATGATGTTATATATGCTTTTAAAAAAATATTTTTAAACAGGAAAGTTATTAAAATCGAAGGAGAAATCACTTCTGATCAGGCTTGCACCGCATCGTGACAACCAGAAATAGCTAGCTAGGTAGATGCATTCTTATTTTTTTTAATTTAATTTAATTTATTTATTTTTGACTGTGTTGGGTCTTCGTTGCTGCGTGTAGACTTTCTCTAGTTGTGGCCAGCGGGAGCTACTCTTCATTGCGTAGGCTTCTCATTGCGGTGGCTTTTCTTGTTGCGGAGCACAGGCTCTAGGCGCGCGGTTTTCAGTAGTTGTGGCTTGCGGGCTCTAGAGCGCAGGCTCAGTAGTTGTGGCACACGGGATTAGTTGCTCCGCAGCATGTGAGATCCTCCCGGACCAGGGCTCGAACCTGTGTCCCCTTTATTGGCAGGAGGATTCTTAACCACTGCGCCACCAGGGAAGCCCTAGATGCATTCTTTTATATTTTAAATTGACTCTTTATATTATGGAAATATAATGTCACCTCCAGTAAGCCCCTAAACTTTGCTTAGAACCCATAATCTGTCTTCGCCTCTCTGGTAAGAGTCTCAAACCGTTCAGGTGGTCAGAGGTCGATAAATAGCTGTTGCTACCAAATCTCATCTCCTCCTCCATTCTCAGTGTCCCTTTGGTGGGTGAACAATGTCTTCTCATATCAGAGGTCTGGCACAGATGGAGTACACTTAGCCCAGTGAAAACAATCCATCTTACCTTGGAAATCTGCTTTTGCTGAAATTTGCTCAGCCACACCAAACTATATGAAAATCCATTCTAAAATCTCGGCAAGTCATTTTTGTTTGACTCAATCTCCCTCATCTGTTTGAGGGAGATAATAACCCCTGTTCTGCCTCCCTCCTGTGATTGTTGTGACATTAGGTATGTGACGAAGACCTTTCTGAAGAGAGACCCATTCCTACTCTTGAATCTTCTCAGCAGCTTTATTCATTATCTCCAAAAACTGGAGGTAACCCAGATGACCTGCAACTGGTGAATGGATAAACAAAATATGGCCTATACATCCAGTGAAATACTACTCAGCAATGAAAGGCAACAAACTGCAAAAAAAAATAAAAAAGGAACAGGGATGAATCTTGGAAGCAGTATGTTAAGTGAAAGAAGCCAGACCCCCAAAACTACATACTACTGTATCATTCAATTTATGTGAATTTATATTCTGGGAAAGGCAAAACTATAGAGACAAACAACAGATCAGTGGTTGCAGAGGCATAGGGGAATTTTGGGGGGTGGTTGATGGAACTGCTCTGTATATTGATTGTGATAGTGACTACGTGCCATGTCACAACTCACAAAACTATACACCAAAAAGAGTGAATTCTCCTGTTTGTGAACTGCACACACAGCAACAGATTTTAAAAGAAAATCTGCTCAGGCTCTCAGGTGAATTCCTTGTAGTTCATGAAAATTCTGTGATGTGTGACTAATAGGATAAGGGTGTATGAGGTTTTCTGGAACAGGAGAGGGTGAGGGTGGAGCACAGAACCCTATTAGCTAAACCGTATGAAACATCTCTTTTCAGGGAGTTTGTCAGGGAGAAAAAGTACCAGACAGAGGCTGAGGTGTTTGGGTGGAGCTTTGTCTTCGAGGACCTTGTCTCTGATGAGCTTAGAAACAAAGCAACCCAGAAAATGCAGGTAAGAGAACCTAGGTTTGCAGCTGAGGGGATGGGAGTGGGACCTAGACAGAGAATCCTGTGGGATCTGGGGTCCCCTGGGCCACAGTAGAGAATCCAACCTGAGAACCAGAGGCAGGGAGGAAGCAAGAGAGACCCACCCTGGAAGAGTCAGATGAACACACACTCCCAGGAAGTTCACCCCGTGCTGGTTTCTGTATAGAGAGACTCGGTAAAGATGCAGACACACACAGCATTCAAGATACTCCCTGGACCAGCAAGAGAACCTCTTGAGAAGCCTCCCTCCAATACGGGTGGTGAGATTTTGGACACAGCCTCACTTGGACCACCTGAGTCTCAGCCTGAAGGCTCTGCTTTGCCTCCTGGGTGTCAGTCAGGAAGGTGCCCTCGCTGGGTCAGAGCATCTTTTTAGTCATGCTCCTTTCTTTTTGCAGTCTCTCCTCTGGTGGCTTCCAGTGGAAAGGGCGTTCTGGAGGCAGGTAAGCGTTGGTTCCTCTACTTTGTTTTCTCCCCCTGTTGACTCTTGGGAGGCCTGGCTTCCCTAGACCCTTGCCCATCTAGAAATACTGAGTTTAAAAGGATGACAGAGAAATTTCAGGGAAGCAGCCAAGCCACCCTGTTTTCTCTGCCCTAATCCTTTTACCCCTGGCCCGTCCCATTTCTCCCTTTCGTCTCATGTTTAGTCCTTCTTTCTGACTCTGGACCTCTCCTCACTCACCAGGCTCTCTCTTCCCACTTCCTTGCTCCATCTGTGGTAAAAGCTGAACTCAGGCACCCTAAGCCTAGCCTTCCTTAGACTTCCACGGGCTCCCAGAAGCTTGTCTCACTTCATCCTGGCTATCAGCCTGCAGGTCCCGGCTCTGGCATCCGAGAGAAACTGGAGCTCCCAGTGGTACACATGAGCTGGAATGATGCCCGTGCCTACTGTGCTTGGCGGGGGAAACGGCTGCCCATTGAAGAAGAGTGGGAGTTTGCTGCCCGAGGGGGCTTGAAGGGTATAGAGATGCCAAGCGATTTCCCTTTATTCTTTGTCCCCATCCTGCCTTGCATTGGGGGCTTTAAAGGGTGGGATAGGTTTGTGCTCCCTAGAGCAGTGCTTCTTTTTTTAATTTAATTTTATTTATTTATTTTTGGCTGCATTGGGTCTTTGTTGCTATGCACAGGTTTTCTCTAGTTACAGTGAGTGGGGGCTACTCTTTGTTGCGGTGCATGGCTTTCTCATTACGGTGGCTTCTCTTGTTGCAGAGCATGGGCTCCAGGCGCGAGAGCTTCAGTAGTTGCAGCACACGGGCTCAGTAGTTCTGGCTCACAGGCTGTAGAGTAAAGGCTCAGTCTTTGTGGCGCACGGGCTTAGTTGCTCCACGGCATGTGGGATCTTCCCGGACCAGGGCTCGAACCCGTGTCCCCTGCATTGGCAGGCGGATTCTTAACCACTGCACCACCAGGGAAGCCCCGAGCTGTGCTTCTTACACTGTGTAATGATGGACCAGTTGTTGTTGGTGTTATTTCTAATCCATCTCAGACCAATACTTCCATAAAATAGTGTAAAAATTAGTAACTGGAAAATGGAATGAAAAAAACAGACATGTATTTTTTTAATTATTGGAGAGTCTACAGACATGTTCCATTTCAGTAAGTATGATCAGAACAACATAGCATAGGGAAAAAGAAAAGGATTACCTGTACTGTATACCTTTTCCATAGCTGTATAGGGATTAATATAACATTGCTATTTGCTTATAACTTTGTTAGTTTGCAATCCTAGCTAAACAGAAAGTTAGAGTGAAATAGCAATTTCCCATATTCAGCACCTCTACACAGTCTTTGAATGAACACTGGCTATACCAATAGTCAAAGTTATTAATGTGATAAATGAGGTTGCTTGTTCATTTATCCAGTCTAAGTCTAAAGAACAAGTTTCTCAATGCTTACTCTCAATTTCTGTACTTATCCCAGCATGAGCTGGTAACAGATAGTTTGCAGAATGGCATTGGTCAGAATCACACCTAGAATTGTCCTGTCCTGGAGCAAATCAGAAGCCAGGGCCTCCGAGTGCAATACTGTGAGTGGAGGGGAGGGGCGTGGGAAGTAAAAGTAAGTAATCTTATTCTGTTCTCATCACTTCCTCACTTCCTTTCGGTTGCCTCGCTCTTTCTGCCTTTCCCTTCTTCCCCAACTCCTCACCTCTCCCTCCTCCGCTGTCTCCTTGCCCTCCTGGCAGGTCAGGTTTACCCCTGGGGAAACGAGTTCCAGCCAAACCGCACCAACCTGTGGCAGGTAAGACACACCTTCCTCACTCCTGTCCCTTCTCAGAGTGTTGATTGAGACCTGCTGTGGGCTAGACACTGTGTTAGGCTGTGGGACTCAGAGGCCTTCGTGTTGTAATGGAACTGAAAGCTGGTAAAGGGGTAAAGCAGAAGACCACGTGGTGGGGCTCTATAGTGAAGCTGTGCTGCGTATGCTGGGGGGTGTGCTGGGAGTGTGCTCTCTGGTGCTGCAAGAGCAGGGCGTGGCTTCACAGGGAACATGCCATTTGAGCTGATTGAACCGGAGTTTGCCACGAGAAAAGTGGAGGAAACAACATGCATGTCAGCAGTGGATTAGGAAAGGGTGCTGTGTGTTCAGAGACATGCCAGACTCGGAGAGGCTAGCGCACGGGGAAACAGGAGGTATAGGAGATGAAGTAGGCAGTGGATTGGAGGCAGGTTATGAAGGACCAGGGGTGCCGAGATGTGGTTTTAGATTTTACCCTCCAGGCAGTGGGGAGCCGACAGAGGTCTTGAGACAAGGGAGAGACAACATCATTTTGATTTGGGGGATGCTGATTGTTGAAAATTTGTGTGGGATCAAATGCAGTAGAGCTGCGGGAGGTCTGTGAATCCGAGGCTGCGGCCATGGCCCAGGGCTGTGAACACTTGCACGAAGCAGAAGTGAAATTGAGAGGAAGCCAGGAGGGAGACGCCTGCCTGAGAGGAGAGACAGGGTTTGGTACTTTGCCACACATGGAGGAGTGGAAGAGAGGACTAGAGCACGAATCCAAGCTTGGGCAAGAGGGTGCTGGTGTGACTATTATCCAGAATAGATAATATGCATGTCGGGGGTCAGAGGGATAGAACTTGGTCAGTTTAGGATCAGCCTAGCTTAAGCTGCCTTTGGGTCATGGATATGCTCAGTAAGAGGTTGAAAGTATGAGTTTGGAGCTTAGGACAGAGGTCTGGGTCAGAGCAACTGGTTTGGCGCCAACAGCGTACACTGTAGGCAGGAATGACATCCCCCTAGGGGACTCTGCAGCATGAGGGGAGCCCAGCACCAGCATTTTAGGGTGAAGCCTTGAAAAGGGCCTCAGAGGTAGACTGACCTTTTAGATGATCTTGGGATCAGAGCTTTGCAAAAAGTCTTATCTGACTTATTCACCATGGGATCTTTGTTAAATTAACTGTTTTGAGTCTCAGTTGCTAGCTTTTTTTTTTTTTTTGGCTGCATTGGGTCATCGTTGCGGTGCGCGGGCTTCTCATTGCGGTGGCTTCTCTTGTGGTGGTGCATGGGCTCTAGGAGTGCAGGCTTCAGTAGTTGTGGCACACAGGCTCAGTAGTTGTGGCTTGTGGGCTCTAGAGCGCAGACTCAGTAGTTGTGGCACACAGGCTTAGCTGCTCTGCGGCATGTGGGATCTTCCCGGATCAGGGCTCGAACCCGTGTCCCCTGCATTGGCAGGTGGATTCTTAACCACTTCACCACCAGGGAAGCCCCAGTTGCTAGCTTTTTAAAGGGAGAAAATACTTGCCTCATAACCTGGTCAGGATTAAAGACAGATGTAGCAGCCCTAGCACACAGTTGACGATGAGTAAATTGTAGCCCCTTCATCTTCCCTTTCATAAGATCAGCCCCCATAGAGCAGGGGCAGCTGAACTCCAATTTCAACGAGAAGCAGAATGAACAAGTTGAACAAATTGCGTCAGCAAATACAGGTCACTTTTCCAGAATTTTGGCAGTAAAAAGCAGGAGGTGAGGAAGGCAGGGTCAGAGCAGATGAGGGAGAGTTAAGCCTGTTGGTGGTAGAAGGGAAAGCGATGGTACAGGGGAGCACAGGATGAGCATCTCGTTCCTGAGGAGACGGGTGCAGGTCATGGAGGAGGGGAGGCAGAGCCTTTCTTCTCAAGGCACATGGGGAGGAAGTCGAGAAAGTGGGAGTGGGGCAGGCTGGTGTGGACACAGGGGAAACGACACATTTCCTAATCCAGCCAGGAGGTCATGGTAGAGGACACGAGGCAGCTGGTTTGGGAGCTCAGGGTGGGAACCTCGGGTCACTGCCCTGTGCCCTTCCCCTACCCCAGAGGACACCGCGAGATGGCCTTGGTTTAAACTCCTTTGGGCAGGTGGGAGCAGCTGCCTTGGGACGGGATGGTAAATCTTTGAGCCTAAATTTCTCCCCGCTCAGGGAAAGTTCCCCAAGGGCGACAAGGCTGAGGATGGCTTCCACGGAGTCTCCCCGGTGAACGCTTTCCCCCCACAGAACAACTACGGTAAGATTGCTCATCGGGTTGCTGTCATGTCAGCGTTCACAGCTCAGCTGGTGGGATGGTCCTGCCCGAAAAGTGAGGCGGAGAGAAGCAGCATGGGGAAGCGTTGGCTCCCCAGGGCCATCGGGTGGCGTTCCCCAGCCTGGGCTAGACCCGCCGCTGTGCTTCAGGGCTCTTTGACCTCGTGGGCAACGTGTGGGAGTGGACAGCGTCACCATACCAGCCTGCCGACCAGGACATGCGTGTCCTCCGGGGGGCGTCCTGGATCGACACGGCGGACGGCTCTGCCAATCACCGGGCCCGGGTCACCACCAGGTGAGGGGCTCGGTAGCTGGGGGCTGAGGGTCTGGGTCCTGGACTCCCAGAGCACAGGTGGCACCAGATACGGCGTGGCCGCCACTGCCGTGCCTCCCCCTCCACTGGGGGCTGTGGGTACAGAAGAGGAAGCAAGCCACACTTGCCATGGAAAGCCAAGAGCCCGGGACTGCTGGTGCCTTTTCCTGCCAGCTGTCAGCACCAAGGCAGACTCTGTGTCCAGCATCTTAATTATGTGGTTTCCCCTCTTGTCCTCCAAGCTAGGCTTGCAGAGAGAGGGAAGTGGAATGGCCACATCGATAGGTCATGGCCAGGGGTCATGGAAATATTGACTCTTCCAACGAGTGTGCACATGAAAAGTCATTTTCTACAACCGTTTTGTCTTACAATCAAGAAAAACTAGGCTCAGGGAGGTCCTGGAGCCTGCTCATTTCACACAGATGGCTAGTGGTGGCACCTGAATGGTGGAGTCCCCGGCTCCCGAGTCCCCTTCTAGGACCTTCCACCTTGTTCATCTGTGGATTTATTTTGGTTAATCTCCCTGCAACTCCTCCTGCTCCTGGGTTCCGGAAGGACTGTCGAGAAGCCACTGTTCCTGTGGCCTCAGGGTGTCAGGGTTGCAGGCGTTTCTTTGATACATTGAGCCCTTGGATTTTCCTCACCTTTTTCTTTAGGATAAAGTAGTGGAGAAAGTATTGGCCTGAGGACCAGGAAACTGGGTTTGCCACTGATTCTGTTGTGCCACTAAAGCAGTGGTTGGCCTTGGGCAAGACATTTAAATCTTTCTAGTGTCTGACTCTGGGTCTGTGAGATGGTGAACAAAACACACCTTCCAGAGCAGTAAGGGAAATGGCAAATGACGGAATATGTGTGAAACTTCTCTGGAAAGTGTGAGGTACTGATTGGTGCTACGATAGTCTCACTTTTTGCCGACAGGTTTTTTTCAGCTGAGTTATTCTAAACTACCGACAGTCGAAGTTATTACTTGTGGCCTTTCCTTCCTTCCAGTTCAGTCTCTCAGGACCACCCTCACTTCCTCTACTGTGTCCCAAGGTCCCTTCTTACCCCTTTCCCCCAGGAATGGCACACCCTCAGGCCCTACCCTCACACTAGGTTTCTTTCCAGACTGTGTATGCCCCCTACCAGTCCCCAGGCACCCCAGACCACAGCAGGCCCTGGGAGCTGGAGCAGGAGAGTTGGGTAAGGCCCCGGGTCCCTTTCTCAACAAATGTCCATTCTCTCTCCCCTTCTCTGGTGGCAGGATGGGCAACACTCCAGATTCAGCCTCAGACAACCTAGGCTTCCGCTGTGCTTCCAGTGCAGGCCGACCACCTGGGGAGCTGTGAGCAGCCACACAGAGATGAGGAGAGTCCCCCGTGGCACCCGTGGCACTCCCTGGCCACATGCCAAACACAGCCAAACTCGGGACTACGTCCATCCCCTCCCCCATCCCGTGGCAGACACCCCTCCCCCAGGCAGGAAAGGACCCTGACCTCCGCGGAGGGGCGCCACTGTCTCTTGGAGAAGGGGCCCAACTTACTGATTGTGCCCAGGAGCCGGATGTTTCTCTTAGAGGTCAAATATTGACCGTATGGGGGCCACATACTCAAAACAGTTGGGGCACAGTGCTCTGAAAGGCAGTTTGTGAAAAAATTTTAAATCTGCTCCCTCCTCCTTTCTCGCTGTCTGACCCGGGGACCTGACATTGTTTGCTCAAGGCAGAATTTCCCCAGGTCTCCTTGTTTTCCCAGCAAGTTGCTGTAGAAGGAAAATGATTCCTTCATTTGCCTTATTTGTGGGGTTTCATGCACCTCCGAGGGAACCTAGTTTCCACCGTATGTGAAATGCAGTTCTGTGGGCTCTTTAAAGCACACTGTCAGTCTTAAAAGGGTCTAGGAGAACGACGGATTTACCAGGCGCAACTGTGTATCATGGGAGGCACAGAGTGAATAATACTCCACAAAGACAAAGAGCAGAAGCTTCCCTTTCTATTATTAATTATGTAAGGGCTGCCCTATGCCTCTAAAAACATGGCCCCAGAGAAGAACCTGCTCCCGTGGTGTCACTGGACTTTGTGAGGTCAGTAAAATCTCCTGTGATTGCGATTCTCAGACTGTTCTCTTTCATCCTCACCCTGGGACCCTAAAGGCGGTGCACCGAGTGTCAGTAACTGTGGGCCTCCCTTGAGGACAAGCGGACATGGTGGTATAGCTGGGCAGTGGAGAGGCAGGGTGCTTCTGGTTCTGGACCACAGCTGGTCCCCCACTCCGTGGGCCTGGCTCCAACTGCACTGACCACCGCGTGACGCCTCCAAGAGGGGAGAGTGGCCCCAGCTCCTGGGGTCCGGGCTGGGGCCAAGTGCCCCCTCTGGACAGAGCCCTGCACCCGCTCTCACTCCTGTGCCCTCCATATCGGTGGCTTCTCCTCCCGGCCTGCCCCCCGTCCCACCTGGCCTGCCGGCCTGCCCGTCAGTAGACCTCCTCAGCCAGGGAGAGGAGCACAGCCTTGGGTGTGTTCTCGAAGAGCGCCGCCCGGTTCTGCTGCTGCCCCTTCTTCACCCAGTGGCCATACATCCGGAAAGCGTACGCGTCGATGAGTCGCCGCAGGGGCCGGAGAGCATAGGGGTCTCGGATCATGATCTCCAGGGTCACGGGCTTCACCCGGCGGTACTGGTAGTAGATCCGCACGGAAGCCAGCACCGTCAGGGCGATCACCTGCGGAGGGCCTGGCCTGAGAGCTGGACCTGCCCCGCGGCCTGTTTCCTTCCCGGTCCGTGACGGCAGGCCCTGAGCTTGTTTGCCACGAAGGCTTGTGTGGTTTCTGCTGGGCCTGTCCTAGCGTTCCCGCCTCCCCTCCCCCCGCCCCCCGTTACCCCCATTCCCACCCGACCAGCAGGCGCAGGGCTTAAGGCTGTCGGAGCCAGAAGCCAGAAGTTGAGCTGCAACCATCACAGGGCTGAGCGGGAGGAGAAGGGTGGGTGCTCTGGAAACCCCATGGGCGTAAGGAGTCCCCAAGAAGGGCACCGGGAGCTTGGACTTCAGGGGCCTGCGGCACCCACCCCGGGGCCCTGAGTGGCAGGCGAGCTTAAGTACCTTGAACTTCCCCCGGGGGCTGAAGTGACGCACTTCCTCCACGGTGTACTGCTGGAAGAAGGGATGTGCCAAGGCCTCTTCTGCCGAACAGCGGCCTTTGGGGCTCACCACCAAGAAGCGGGAGACCTGAGAGAACGAGACAGAAGATGTCTATGGGGGGTTCCCTCCTGGCAGGGCCTCCATCCCGTGGCATGCACGGTACACTCCCCTCTCCCCACTGTACGTGCCCCTCGCCTGACCCCCGAGCCAGGAGGCCTTTCCTCTCACCAAGTCCTTCACAGTGTCCGAGTAATCATCCCATTCTGGTGAGCCAAACTGGTAGTTGCCACTCATGATCATCCTCAACATCAGCATCTGCTTGCGGTGCCAGAAAGGTGGGGAGCCGGCCAGCAGCGTGTACATGATGACCCCCGTGCTCCACCTGGCACCAGGCAGCGGGGAGGAAGGCAGGCGGGCCAGCTGTAGCTCCCACCGTGCCCTCCTCCCCAGCCAGGGGCTCCCGGCCATGGGGGCATCCCTGTCCCTACGGGTCACCTCCCTTCCCCCAACACACTCACATGTCCACCTCCTTCCCATAGCCAGGGTGGTTATCATCCATGGAGCACTCAATGATCTCAGGGGCCAGGTAACTGGGGGTCCCACAGACCTCTGCAGGGATAGTTTCCATCAGAAGAGGTCAGCAGAGGCACTTGGAAGAGGAAAGCCCAAAGAGACAATGGAGAAGGAACCGAAGTGGTGGCTGGGCTGGGACTCTCTGAACACGGGCCTGGCCCAGGGCCAAGGGCTGAGGGGTCCTGTGGCCACCCGATGGGGCACCGTCAGTGGCCTGGTCACTTCTAGCTATCCTGGCCTGGAATGCAGGCAGTGGGAACCTGGCTCAGCCCAGTCTGGGGAAGAAACACCCAGCCCTGAAATGGTAGGATTTTTATTTTGTGGGGGAAACCCAGGCAATCTCTGTTCCTAGGAGAGCTGAGGAGAGAGCCTGAGCCCCCGACATGGGCCAAGGCCATGTTACCAGACCTCGCAGTTTCTCTCCTGGCTTCAGCTGGCAGGAAAAGCCAAAGTCTGTGAGCTTGATATTCATGTCATCATCCAAGAGGATGTTCTCAGGTTTCAGATCCCGATGCACGATGTTGAGTTTGTGCAAGGTGAAGATCACCTCCAGCAGGGTTCTCATGATCTTTCTGGGGTGGGACAGGAACAGGTTACTTTCATCTGCTACTCTGCAGGGTCAGGTAACAGGCAGGGACACCAAAGCCCATAAGCCAGCTGGACTGCAAGTCGGGGAGGACTCAAGACAGGCCAGGCCTACCTTGGCTGAGTCAAGGAGGAAAGGAGGCCACCAAAGCCAGCGGAGCACACTGCCGACCCAGACGGGTGCATGCCACGCCTCTTCCGAGACCTCAGCGCCTAAGCAAGGGACTCAGGCCGGAAGTAGGAAGAGGGGCAAGTGGACCCTCACCTGGTTTCCTTCTCGCTCAGGGTGACCTTCTCAGTGAGGTAATCAAAGAGCTCCCCTCTCTTCATCCTGTGGGGACAGAGGGTTTGTAGCTGGATGTGCCCCAAGGCAACCCCCTCCTTACCCTGCTCCCAGAAAACTGTTTCCCACCCTAACACCTCCAGGGGCAAAGTGGGCTGCTCCCCACAAAGGACCAAGGTCTGTGGGGAGGAGCTAGGGAAGTGAGTGGAGAGGCTGTCTCAGAAGGTTGAAAGAAGAACAAGGGAGACTGGGGGCTGGGGGCTGGCACCAGTGCGAAGGTCCCCCCATGTGTGGGAGTGACAGCATGGACTGGGATCCATGAGGGTCAAAATCAGGGTTGTGAGGGGAGAGAGGGAACTTGAGCCACTGGCACAAGGCCCCAGACCCAGATCAGGATGACAGGAGTATCCTGATTTTTCCCAGGAACAAACAGAAGCAACAGTAGTGATGGAAGAACAGTTTTACCTATTTTAGGATTTCTTAGGATTAAGAATTGTGGTTCCATTTTCTCACTTGGGATGATCTAGAAAGAGGTTTCTGCTAGAATCATCTAGTTATACCCTGAAGGGCAATTTGGGGCAGCATTAAAAATAGCTTCCCCAAGCAACTCCTTCAAAGGCTAGAGACATTTGAGCTGCCCCCAAGGGCTCTACGGGACAGTGCCACCGAATGGAGTTGAGACAGCTAGAGCTGGGCAAGTCTGGAGGGGTCCTAGGAACGTCTCCTTTGGTTAAATAGGAAAGGTGCATCCTGCCTGCCCCTCCAGGAAAAGCAGGGCCCAAGGGAAGAATTCTGGCCAGTATCTGAGGGAGGCAAGAAAATCCTTGAACTTAACTGGTGGGACGGGGAGTTGAGTTCTGTTTGAGGAGGAACCCAGAAATGACAGAAGTGAGCCTGGTTTCATACACAATTGGTACTGTGTCCCCAAAAGGCAGTGTGTGCCTCCAGTTTTGATCACTTTAATTCCATTGTAAACACGCTAGGAGAACTCACTAATAGCAGCAGCAGCAAAAAGATTTACCAGTCAACACTGGGACCCCGGCAAGGTCCATCAGCAGGCTCTTGCCTTCCTGGAGCTGGTGGTTGAATTGTATACACAGACCAAGTTAAATTGCGTGCGTCTCCAAGAAAAACTTAACACTGCACGTGTTTAGTATGGCTACAAAATGAAGTGTTCCAGCAATACAAAATCTGCTTGAATAATCTTCTCAAAGCTAGTCCCTAAATTAGCAGTTATGTATGGAGAAGTCAAGACAGCTCTCCAACGATTCCTGCAACAGAGGTGTGTGTTCTTTAGTGAGGACTCCAATGGAGCGGGGGCGTGGGAGCTGGAGAGTTCCCTTCCTTGGGAACCTTTTCCAGTAACAATGGTAAGAAGTCTGAGTGCACGGTTCACAGAGCACTTTGTGTTGTTCGAATTTGATGCTTGGAGCCTGGTGAGATGGACAGTATCTTTTTTCCTTTCCTGAGAAAACAGAAGCTCTCCCAGCTAAAAGGCCCACTGGTCCCTGGGGGCAGAGGGCCCTGTGACAAGGAGCTCATCTCAATAGCCCGTTGGTGCACAAGCAGGGGAATAGTGACACCTTGCCGTTGATGCTCCTGCTGACGACAACGACGATGATGTCAATCTTTGAACCACAACCCAAATACAATCTCTACCACCTGTCTCCCTGGTGGGCCTCTTGCCCCCATATCGCTGGCTTCCTCCTTTCCACTCTTGCCCCTTACAGTCAGTGGGACCCTTTATAAAAGTAAGTCAGATCACATCACCCTCCTGCTCTCGGCCCTCCAAAATTCTTACCTCCAAAATGCCTGCATAATCTGCTTTTTGGTACTGACCGACCTTGCATCCTGCCATCGCCACAGGCTTGCTCCACTCCTCCATCCTGACTCGCTTGCCGAGGCTCAAACATGCCAAGCCCACCCGGCAGGGCCCCTGCTCTGGCCGTTCCCTCTGCTAGAGGTCTCCTTCTCCAGGACCTTCATCCAGGTCTCTGCTCAGGTCACCTCCTGGAGAGCATTCCCTGCCCACTCCCTCTGACCCCCGCTCAGCTTTACATATATGTGTATAACTCTGTGTGTGTTTTATGACTTGACTGCTTTCTGTTTACGCCCTGTGCAAATTAGTGCATGAAGTAGGACTGCGTATCCTCAACGTCTAGAATAAGTATTGAATGACCACCATGGTCATCATCATGGTAGTTCACAATTATTAGCATTTACATTGTGCCAGTCACTGTGCCATTATTACTCCTGCAATACCGATGGGAAAGCTGATACTGACAGAAATCATCCAGCCCATAAGTGATGGACCCAGGATTTAAAACCTGGCAGCCTGACTCCAGGGGCTGGTCTGCCTAAAGCGTCTGTGACCTTATTTGGCATCCACGGTGTAAGGGGCGGGTGGGGGACTACAATAGAAGCCTCTCCAATAGGCCCCAGGCCTGGGTACTTACAGATCAAACACCAAGAAGAAGAAAGTGTTGGTCTCGTAAGTGTCCTTCAGCTGTACTGAAATGGAAATGGCTCGCTTGTCTCAGGCAACAGAGGGACCCAGGAGGGGGCAGTGGAGGCGCCGGGGGCAAGGGGACTAAGGCTGCTGTGGCCGGACTCAGAAGCTGGAAGGGGTATCGCGATGGTGTTCAAAGGAGGCGCACCAGAGGAGGGGGCACCCAGGGACTTCACACTCCCATTCCCACACCTGCACCCAGCCCTGCCTGTCACCCCTTCTGTGGGGCTGGAAGAGGGGGCTTAGAGCTGACTCCCGAGAGCAGTGAGGGTGGAGCCGGGAGCCTCAAGCCTCTGGGCACTGGGCTTTCAGGGCCTCGGGGTGCCACTCTGGTGCTTCTGGCTCGCTGCACTGGGGCCACACTCCCCGGCTTGGGTTATCAGAGCACACCCATGGCAGGGCACCGCGCCGCGGCTCGGGGCCGTCACTCACTGATGTTGGGGTGTCCTGAGACCTTGCGCAGGATGTCCACCTCCTTCTGCGTGGCCTCTCGCAGCTCCTGCACCTCCTCGGAGCTGAAGCTGCCCCCACCTGTGACGTCGATGATCTTCACAGCGTACTCCTGGCATGTGGGCTTGTGGATGCAGCGCCTGACAACGCTGCTCACTCCCCTTGGGGTGCAGAGGACAGATCATCCCCGGGGCCCCTCACCCCAGGGGGAGGCCCAGATCCAGGCCACGGCAGAGATGTCCTGCCTTGTCCCCCAACTCCCTGTGAGCTTTGGGGGATGGTAGGATGAAGAAGGCACAGAGAGGGCAATTTGCCTGGAGCCCAAGAGGACGAAGCCTGTTCTGGGGCCTCCTAACTCCTAGTTCAGCGCTCTTTCTCGGCACGGAGGAAGAAGCTGTACCCTCTCAGGGCCATAAGCTTCTCTCTGACACCTGATTCCTGACCCTGGCCCCAAACTGGGGGAGCTCTTGGCTGGGAGAGGTCTCTAATCTGGGTGCTCTTATACCCGCTTCCTCCATCCTGGTGCAGGAGGGCAGGACCCCGAACTGAGAGTTTCTCCAAGTGGACAGCGCTTTCAGGATGGAAATGGGGTCCGTGCTCAGGGTCAAGCAGAGATTGATCCCGCCCGCAGTGCCGGCTAGTGCCCAGGACAGAACTTCATGGGGAAGGTCCGGGCCTTACCTGCCCAGGATCTCCTTGGGCTCGTAGTTCTCATAGAAGCTCTGTGCGGAATGGGAGTCCGGCAGTGTCTTGTACTGGGTCATGTTCAGCTCCTTAAAGAGGGGAACAGAAAGAAACGGTCAGCCTTCCTGAGCTGGGGGATGTGCTCTTTGAGGGCTGAAACCGTTTCTCCCTTTTTTTTTTTGGCTGCACCACACAGCATGTGGGATCTTAGTTCCTTCCTCTGGTAACCAGGCACCCAGCAGAACCAGGGGTCGAACCCGTGCCCCCTGCACTGGAAGTGCAGAGTCTTAACCACTAGACCGCCAGGGAAGTCCCTCTCCCTCACCTTTGTATTTCCTGGCATCGGTCTGGCCTCTTGTGAATATTCGAAATAAATATTTATGATTTTTTTCAAAAAGCTTTGGCAAGAGCCTAACTTGCTTCTCCCCACTGGCTGTAAGCTCTCGTGACCCCAGGTGACCATGTGGCTCCCGGCATGTTCTCGTTGTTAGTTGTTGCTCCCCGGTAGGAGCAACAGATGGGCAGCCAGGCCCAAGCCCAGGCTCGAGGCAGGAATCAGGCCACCGGGCTGCAAGGTTAGTTCTGACAGGGCCAGCACACGCTTGAGTTTAGAAAGCACCACCGAGAAACTCTGCGAAGGACAAATTAAAGTGCTCTTTCCTTTCCTCTTTGAGGCGATGAGGCTGGTCCTGCTTTTCCTCGGCCTGCTCTCTGCACTTCTGGAAAAGGTGAGAAGCTTCATGGTTTCATTTTCAAATATGCTGCGCCCATAACCTCTCCTTATCTCCCCCACTTGTAACTGTCCTACCCAGAAAACACCCCTCCTTCTGCAACAGCCTTGCTGTGCTTCCCACTGATGCTTCCTCACCCATTCTGCCCTTAGTTTTTGTGATCACTGTCCCTCCTTCACCCTTCCTCCCTCCCTCCCTCCCTCCCTCCTTCCTCCTTCCTTTCTTCCTTTCATACTCTGAGAGGTACTGTGCCAGGTGCTCTGAGGGATGCAGAGTTTGATGGGTGAGTCCTGGTCCCAGCCTCTGGTATCACTTGTTCTCTCATCTCTATCCCACCGTGATCATCTCTAGATCATCCCAACCATCCCTCGCCACTGTGCCCAGTGCAGGTGTGTCGCAGGTGCTGCTCTGTAGATATAAGTCAATGGCTGGAGGTGTCCCTTTGGTCCAGGTTCCTGCCAGCAGGATGGTCACGTCCTCAGAATGCCCTGTGTCCTACCTAATGATGGCCATTGAGCCCTGAGTGGTCCTGCTGCAGTGTGGGGCAGAACGGAGCCAGGACACTCAGGCCTAGACCCAGAGGAGCTGGCCGGCTTTGCTTCAGGAACATAGAGGCCACTGGGTACGGAACTCCTATACCACACAGAGGATTTGAGGAATGGAGAAAATGCTGTACCAACAGGAAGAGGGGCAGATAGAAAATGGGCACGAGCTGCCTCTCAGCAGGGCCAAAGATGCCTCTGGTCCCATTTCCACCGCCCTTTCTGGGTCCAAGAAGGTCTGGCCTGTCAAAGAGGCCCATTTGCTGACCAGCCGAGCAGCAGCCCTGGCTGCCTCAGGACAGGCTGGCTGTTCCAGGAAGGCTGGTGTCCCCACTGCTGGGTGCCTGGTTACCAGAGGAAGGATTAGAATAACACCAGTCTCCTCTGCCAGCAGCAGGCTCTGGAGCTGTCTCTGCTCCACCCCCGTCAGCAACCCCAGCTGAGCACTGGAGTGTCTGTTCCCCATAAAAACGAGCTCAATTCCTGGTAAGCCGTTTAAAGTTCCCACGAGGGGCATCTGTTCCCCCTCCTCCCCCCCACCTCCCAAAGCTGGGTAAGGAAAGGTCTCTCTCTTCCTGCAGCCCTCCCTGCACAGACAGTGTATGTGGACCCAGCCCGGGATGCCGTCCCATCGGGGCCCGTTCCCTGGCACAACCAGCCCCACTGAGCCCCAGCAGCACTCCCTTCTCCTGGGGTGGGCGGCGGAGGTCTATCTTGCCTCATCCCCTTGCTCTAGGCCTAACCTGGGGCCAACTTCGCGCCTCTGTCCACTGCCCCTGCCTGCATTCCCCATGCCTTACCGAAGATGCCTTTGGAAAGGGTCCCCAAACAGGAGTAGGTAGCCTGGTCCTTTTTGGAACATGACATCCCTCCCTGAAACTTAGAGAATCAGAGCTGCCACTCTTCTGGGCCCATGTGCCTTCAGAAGCAGGGAGAGGTGGGTCTAAGGGATGTGGGGGGTTCTGTCTTCCCTATGCCACAGCCTCTCCTGCTCCCCACACAGCTACTCACCTCTATGTCCTCGCAGGCCCTGGAATGAACGTGACAGGAATCCCAGAGGTCCAGGAGCCCCCTGGGGACAGGGGACAACAGAGGGCTGAAGCGTGTCCCGAGCCGACGCTTGTGGCCAGAACAGGATATCTTGCTGCTCTTCCTTCAGGCTTTGCTACTTGAGGACGGAAGGCTGATGTGCCAAAAATAAATCCCAGCTGCAAAGCTGGGGTGCAGGCCAAGGCTCAGCGTGACAGTGCACGAGTTGGGGCCAAGGCTCAGCAGGGGTGACCTCTGGTGGAGGGTGAGGGAAGCTCCGGTGGCCTGGGAGCAGGCAGGACAGCACAAGGCGACCCATCTTCCCTCTGGAGCTCACTCAACCTCCAGGCTTAGAGGAGATAAAGCCAGCTTGCTGGGAACATGCTGGCTTCTCTGGGAGCCATTCCTGTGTGTGCTGAGAGCAGAGCCCTGGAGACACCCCAGCACACTGGTGTGCCCACTCTGCAGCCCTGGCTGCTACAGGGACCCGCTCAACTACGGTTTGTGTGGCTGCCTGACCCAATGCAGACCTCAAAGGCTAGGTAACATTCCCCTCCAGACTCCATCTCTGATCTGCCTCCATTTCATCCTTAACTTCAGCCTGCAGTTTCTAATGAGAGGAGTTCCATGTGCCAGGAAAAGCACATGGGCTCTAACTGTGTGTGGCTTTAGGCTGTTTGGGTGAGGATCCTCATCGGTGTGAGTCTAGCTTAAGAGGCTGAGAGTTGGAAATAACGTACGCAACAAGCTGGCACACAAGTAGACACTTTTTAAATGCTCACCCTCATTCTAAAGCTACCTGTTCTTCAAACCCCTAGTTCTTCTAATATACCAAAGGGGTAACACACTGCTTCATAGAGGTGCTGAGCCCACAAAAACCCATTTAATGAGCATTTTACAATGTACTTCATATGCACTCTCATTGGGCCCCCAAAACCCTGGTATTAAGCCAACTTTAGAGAGAACGTGACTTGCTCGATGAGGTGAGTAGGAGGGCCTAGGTGAACCTCAGATGTAGGCTCACGTGCTCTTTCCATTGTATCACGCTCGCCATCTCTTCCACTCTGGGGAAATACTTTGCTGAACTGCTATATAGGAGTTGGTAAATGACTTTGTCCCTATCCTTAAAGGCCTCCAGCTTATCGAGATGCAACATCTGGTTCCAAAGATGAAAACACTGAATTCTCCTTTTACTTACTGTCAATAGCCTTTTTCCCCGATTCTAAGCTGTAGATGCCTGCTGGCTTACACTTTCAATACATGACAAAAATCCCTTCTGACTTTAGGGCAAAAGGCCAATACACCTGGTGGAATATTCCCTGTGACCTTCTCTGTGTAGCCATGGCTCCCACCAGAGGCAGGCCAGGTCAGCCAGACTCTTGCATTCTATTGTCAGTGGTTCATTTTCCTTTGATTCAGTGATTCAACCATATTTGGGTATCCACCATAGAGCATCACGCCTTAGACATAAGGGGTGTTAACACTATGAACTCAGAAGTCCTGAGCCTTTAGGAAAATGGGCAAAAGCCCACTGATGAACCCAGGAGGGAATATGCTGGGGGACTGGCCAGTAGTGAATTGTCTGTGGTCATTTAGGTCCTTGAGCAAGGTAGTCTTGGCCTCTTTCAGGAAGTGAATGATTAGGTACAGAATGGAGCACTCTAAGAACACCGCTGAGGACGAGGTAACAACTAAATAATTCACTTACTCAACAGCACTTCACTTACCTTGCAGTAACAGAGAGGAAAAAAAAAATCAGATAATGGAAACTCTGAAAGGTATATTTGAAAGTAGGAAAACTGCAGAGCATAATGGAGACTGGAGGTCAACTCCCAGAAGTAAATGAAATTTTGAGCTCTTTGTGAGGGATGGAGCTGGGTTCACTTTTTAAAAAAATGATGCACCCCAAATTGAGTCCAACATGAACTTAAGACAGCTTGGAGAGGGCAACTTGAGTCTTTCAGGAAGAGGAAGCTACAATGCCTTAAGTAGAATAAAAACATCTGCAGGGAAACTGCCTATATTAAGAGAATGAATTTTCATCTCCAACCAATAAATTGGATAATCTAGGTTAACAATGACGTGTAGTGCTGACCTGGCCACAGGGAGCCCACACATGTAATGGGTCTGCTCCCACATTTCCTTTATCATTCACCTGATTACAAGTTAGTATTTTAGTTTCATTACTGCTCAGTTTACTGAAGATTGGCTCCAAAGGCCTGTAGCACCTGGAATCTTTTTAATGAGCAGCACGCTTGCTAGGGAGCTACTCCTTCCATAACTATTTCTCTACCAAAGCTCCTCAGGAAGCTCTGCCAGATGCTCCAGGCGGCCACTACTTTAATATCCAGAGACTACAGACTAGATACACTTAAAAACATGTAGAGACAACTGTGTTCTTCTGCAAAATGCATTCTGTTCAGCATGTGTATACCATGTATGATTTATAACCTTATACTTAAGAGACACATTTGGAAATAAAATCACTTTATTCTAATTAATTCACAAACAAAAGCATGTTTAAGAGGCCACACAAACATCCGCCCAGCCCCAAACTCAATATCATCTCAGTGAGCTTCTATATGGTGAGAATACCCTCTTCCACTGCAATCCTGAAGCACAAAAGCTATTAATGATTGAGGAGCTAAACTGGTGGCTTCACACTTTATATCTTCACTATCAATTATATTTTTAATGCTAAATCAACGTGGTCATGAGAGATGATTTTTCATGCCTTCAACTGGAACTTCTTGATTAAGCTAATCCTGCAAACAGAAAAGGTTTGTTAGAAGAGCACTAGCTACATATTCTCAACAAAACCGAAGTCCTCCAAATTATGAAAGCAGGGATGAAGCCCAAGGTTATTAGTTTCTTTCATAAGCTGTTTAAGGCTGCAACCAATAAAACTTCAACTCTACACTTTGAAGCAGAAATATAGTTACTTTGGTATTAGACATGGTTTCATCAAAGACTTCTGATAAACTTGGCCATGCAATCTCTTAACTCCACAGTTCAACCACCTATAAGGATTAACTTCTCCCCTATCCCTATTTCCTACATAAATGAAGGTGGGGAACTTTGAGAACCATTAGCCCAGACCAGGGTTTTAAAACATTTTTCTGTAAAGAATCAGGTAAATACTTTTCTCTTTGTGGGCCATATAGTCTCTGTCACAACTGCTCAACTCTTCCTTTGCCATGGAAAACAGCCATACACAACACCTAAATGAACAGGAGATGGCTGTGTTTCAATAAAATTACTTACAGAAACAGGTGTCAGGATGGCTTTGGTAAAGGGACCATAGGTGGTCAACCTCTGGCCTAGACCAATTCAGTATAAGAAGCCTGAAAAATGACTCTGTATATATTAAATATACTGTGACTCCATGAGAATCAACTCTAGATTTATCCACAAAAACCCTTTCTAAGTTTCTAAATAAAATCTGCAGAACTATAAATAAATAAATAAATAAAAACGCAGGTGGGAAAATGAAAATAATCAATTAATAGATGGTGAACTCTTAGATTGATAGGAGGAAATCACACAAAAACAAGTTGACTGCCAACATTCCAGAGAACTTAAATCTCTAAGTCCCACTGAGGGATTTAATAAACTTGTCTCTCTCAAATAAGGTGTGCAGAATGACAATGCTCTATCAGATCTTGTGCTCATTCCTGGACTTTGGTGAAATCGGCACTAAGGCTATGCAATAACCACAATAAGATCTTGGCACACTAATCTATACCCGCCTAAAAAAGAATCAGATTCAGAACGTAACTGAATCTGATTCTTCCTTAAGCAGGTAAAAGCCTAATATAATGACTAGAAAACTCTGGACCAGCTCCTTGTTAGATTATTTTTAGAGTAATTTAAACAAAATCTCCTCTAATTTGTCAGTTTAATTTATTAAACACAGACTCCCTAAGTTTTATTAGGTTCAAGGGTACCATTCAGTGAATTAAGCAGATGCAAGTTCAACCATGGATTGATGTATCACCTACCGTTCGCCAGTCTGCACTGTTTCAGCACCTCACTGAAACCTTCACAAAGCTTAAGGTCACCCTGGTTCTGGGCACACTCCAAAAACTGTTTCACCTCAAAAAAGCATGGGCCATTCTGCTGCTGCTGTGCCAGTTGGGCTCCCTGAGGCTCCTGCAAAGGCATAACATTCAGGACTGTTACGAAAGGAAATCAGAGACTTCCCTGGTGGCGCAGCAGTTAAGAATCTGCCTGCCAATGCAAGGTACCCGGGTTCGAGCCCTGGTCTGGGAAGATCCCACATGCCACAGAGCAACTAAGCCTGTGCGCCACAACTACTGAGCCTGCACTCTAGGGCCCATGAGCCACAACTACTGAGCCCGTGAGCCACAACTACTGAGCCCGCGTGCCTAGAGCCCGTGCTCTGCAACAAGAAGCCACTGTAATGAGAAGCAGAGTAGCCCCCGCCCGAAGCCTGTGCACAATGAAGAGGAGCCCCCACTCGCCGCAACTAGAGAAAGCCCACGCGCAGCAACGAAGACCCAACGCAGCCAAAAATAAATGAATGCATGAATGGAAATCAGACTTATACCCGAACAAAGAGCAATAACCACTCTTTGAGGTTAACTGGGGGAACAGAACTAGAACCAGATGCAAATTAAAGTTTCTATCTAATAACATGGACAGTGAAAAAAATTAAAGGCAGAAAGAAATGAGCTTTAACAAAAATCCCAGTTGTCATTAGAAAGATTCGTGAACAAAGATGCAAATAAAGTGGTTATCTGGGCATCTAAAGACCAGTGGTTCAATGATGTTTCATGGAGGAAAAAAATGGGCCTACTACAGAAAAAGAGATGGATGATAGTTTTAAGTACATCAGAAATACAATAGAGTATACAGCCATGCTCCTTAGAGGAGAAAATTCACATATCTCAGAAAGAAGGGCAGTGGCAAATATCAGGTAAGAGATGAGAGAGCACAGAGCCATTAAAAAGATTTCTAAACACTCAACAAAGATTGAGACTGAATCAGTTAAGTGTGACCATGACGAACTAAACAAAACATATATATGTATATGTGTATATATTCATATTCATTCATTCATTCACTCATTCATTTATTTATGCCAGGCCACACGGCTTCTAGGGTCTTAGTTCCCCAACCAGGGATTGAACCCCGGGCCCACAACAGTGAAAGTGGCAAGTCTTAACCACTGGACCACCCGGGAATTCCCCAAAATATTTCAAATCAGGGGAAAGTGGCTGTTTGACAGTCCATCAGGTTGAACTGCCACAATTCTACTCCTTGAGAAGAAATACCATTTGTCCAGGACTCTCTGACGCTGGCCTAAGTAAGGTACTAACGCAACTGCTGCCAAATATGGATAAACCATTCTCCACAGGTGGAGACAGTCCCAATACATAAGTCACTTACAACTAACTAGGTTTTCTTATAAAATACACCACCGAAGAGAATGCTGCCCCAAATCTTACCTGATAAGTGATGTCAGGCCTTGAGGGCTCAGCATTACTTCCTCCACTGAAGCCACCAGCGATGGCATGACCCAGAGTGTGGCCGACGGCAGAACCCACAGCCACGCCGGCTGCAGTGGTTGCCATCTGGGCCATCAGACCTGGCTGCCGGGGAGCAGCAGCAGGTGAGCCAACAGCAGATGGTGGAGCCGCTGCTGGTGGCTGAGCTGCGGGCGCTGGCCTGGGCGCAGTTCTCATCTGAGGCGCCCGGCTGTGAAAGAAAGGAACAGAAGGTATAAAGTTCCCACTCCCAACCAAGTTTGGAAATTGCCAACTTTTTTTTTAAAAATAAATCCAATGGGATATTAAGTCGATGCTATATTCTTTTTTTAAAAAAATAATATTTATTTATTTGGCTGTGCGGGTCTTAGTTGCAGCACGCGGGATCTTCGTTGCAGCACGCGGGATCTTCGTTGCAGCATGTGGAATCTTCAGTTGCGGCATGAGGGATCTAGTTCCCTGACCAGGGACTGAACCCAGGCCCCCTGCATTGGGAGCACGGAATCTTAACCACTGGACCATCAGGGAAGTCCCAGGAAACTGTCAACTTAAATAAACAAACAAAAAAACGAAAACCCCTTGTATATTAAAATAACCTCAGGATTTCATTTTAAATTATTAAACCAAATACTATATACATACAAGAAAACCTTACAGAACACAATTCCCTGTTTACATCATTTTCTCTTTAACCTTTTACGGTTGTAATCACCAAGTATAAACGCTTTTTTCCCTGCTTTTTTCCAACCATTTCCATGTATTCACAAAGTCTATAGTATCTTTAGAGAACACAGTTATTCCAATGTCATAAAAATCAATATAACTGTTAATGAGACAAAAGCCTCTACCTTCGTGGAGCTGACATCCTACTGAGGGATCAAATAAATGCTAAGAAAAAAATATTGAGAGAAGGCAGCATGTTGTGGAATGCTGCAATTTTAGGACAGTCAAGGGAGGTCTCACTGAGCTGGTAACAACTGAATGAACACGGAAAGATAGTCATCTTGGCAAATAAACTTAATCGAATTCCTTCATTTTTCAGATTAGAAAACTGAAGCCCAGTAAGTGGAAGTGACTTGCCTGAACTGTTATACCTAAACTGATTTCAACTATTTCCCATCTGTAGAACATTTGGATGCCTTCAAAATTTCACTAGTATGTCCAATGTTGCTCCAAAATTCTTTCACACAGATTATACCAACTCTGCATTTCTATTTTATTTTTTTTGCTGTACGGGGGCCTCTCACTGTTGTGGCCTCTCCCGTTGCGGAGCAACAGGCTCCGGACGCGCAGGCTCAGCGGCCATGGCTCACGGGCACAGCCGCTCCGCGGCACGTGGAATCTTCCCGGACCGGGGCACGAACCCGTGTCCCCTGTGTCGGCAGGCGGACTCTCAACCACTGCGCCACCAGGGAAGCCCCAACTCTGCACTTTTAGATTGTGGTTTCCCTTCCTTTGGATAGCAGCATCTTTCCATTACGTGAACTCCTTCCCTACGCTCCTAGTACGCAGTTTGAACACAATTCACCTTAGTCTAGAGAAGCAACGTGGTCCTCTGCTAAATGTCCTGAATTTGTCACCGGATAACTCAGGTCTGAGACCGGGCTTCTCTACTTATTGGTGGCATGACCTTAGCCAAGTCACTTATTCTGAGTCTCCAGTTTCCTTATTCCTGTAAAACAGGAAAATATCTACCTCTGAGGCTATCAGGAGGTACAACTGGCAGTACATTTTACAAGTATTTTATCAACTAGAAAACGTCATGTACACGTGAGGCCTTAGTGACTGTGTCCCCTACTGGGCAGAGCCCTTAGAAAAAAAATGATGAAAATGCTCCTGGAAGGTGCTCAAAGATTATTTACTGAATTGAAATACGATCGTTTCTCCTGATTATACTACCTTACACTATTTTTTCTATTTAAAAAAAATTTTATTTATTTAATTTACTTATTTTTGGCTGCATTGGGTCTCCATTGCTGCGCGTGGCCTTTCTCTAGTTGCCGCGAGGGGGGGCTACTCTTCATTGTGGTGCGCGGGCTTCTCATTGCGATGGCTTCTCTTGTTGTGGAGCATGGGCTCTAGGCACAAGGGCTTCAGTGGTTGTGGCGTGCGGGCTTCAGAAGTTGTGGCGCACAGGCCCAGTAGCTCCGCGGCACGTGGGATCCTCCCGGACCAGGGCTCGAACCCGCATCCCCAGCACTGGCAGGCGGATTCTTAACCACTGCGCCACCAGGGAAGCTCTTCTTGCTATTTTAGACGTTTCAGCCAGATTACACTTAGGAATGTCCGTTTCTTTCTAGAAGTGGCCTGTTTTAACTTAAAATGGACTCTAAGTATTTTAAGTAATAATTCATGGACATTCCAAATTAGCAAGTTTGCCACTAACGTGAAAACTAGCCAAAGCCCTACAACCAGCTTGCGGCGACCGGATGCGGGCCCACGCCGCCCCAGCCTTCGGACACCCCAGCCCCCGCCGCCCCGAGGCCCAGCGCAACCTCCCTCTGCGTCACGGCGCCGGCAGGGCCCCAAACCTCGCGGTGGCCTCACCTGGCCGGAGGGGCTACGCGGGAAGTGCGGCTTCGGCTTCCACGAGGCATCTTAAATGCGCGACGGAGCAGGGTGTACAGGCGCGAGACTCGCAAGAGACCCTGGCTGCTTCTACGACGAGCGAGAGAGGAAGTCGGAAGGCGGGGCTGGACTCAGCGCGCGGCCAATCAGAGCACAGGCAGAGGCCTTCCTTTCGCCGACGTCTCCGCGGGTCTGAAGGTCACAGGAAGAGCAGGACGTCATGGCGGCGCCTTGTCGTGCACGGTTTACGTCAGGAGCTCGGCGCCAGGACTGTTTAGAAAACCGGAAGTGGCCGTGGTGGTTGTGCAGATCTTGTCCTCCGAGCTTAACGCGAGTCACAACCGCTAGCTGTTTGCTTCCTAGGGCATAAGGACCGTCGCTACTACCGTCAAACGTTTGCCTTATTAACATGGTAGGTCAGCTCCAATCTTGAGTAAGTCAGAGCTCTGGCGTGATTGTCGCTGGACCTTAGGCCCGTTACTTAACCTTTCTCACCATTAAGTTACTCATTTGGGTAAATATTTTTTGAGGCACAATGTGGGCACATAATAAGACGGAAAACCTTAGGGATCGACAGAGCTGAGTTGGTTCTACTTGTATTTTGTCCGTGGATCCAGTCAACAAAAGTTAAATTCAGACAGTAATAATGCCTTACATTGATGTATTTCATACATTTTCAAACCCCTTTCATATATTATAGAATTTGTGCCCGTAATTGGTATGGTATTCGTTCACTGATAATTAAGTGAGATGTTCTGAATGATCTCCAAGTGCTAGATAGGTTCTGGAGATAGAGCAGGAAATAAGACTATCTCCGAGGAGTTTAAATTCAGGGAGGCAAGAGACAAACACCTACATAAATTAGATGGTGGTGATATGAAGCGAAAGCAGGGTAAGGGTGGTAGGGAGTTAGGGGTTGGAGAGGGCATGAGTCTTTGAAGAGGAAGTATTTGAATGGAGTCCTTGAGGAAGTGCGGAAGCAAGCCTCGTGTTTATCAAGGGTACGAGCATTCCTGGCAAAGGAATGGCAATTGCAAAGGCCCCAAGGATCGGTGCTTCAGTGATACTTGGTGTGAAATGCTTTTAACAGTACATTTTAGCACCTCTGCAGTAGGGGACAAGTTAACTAGTGGCATTTCATGGGGGGCTTCATGGGAAAGTCCTTGGGGGTAGGGTGGGATTTATGGAGGAGAGAAAGCAGAGGTAGAACCTCCATTTCTGCTTGGATGCCAATCAGAAATTTCCCCCTTCCACCAGAGGTAGCAGAGTTTAACACAGCCTTTCCAGCAACAGCAGAATGTTTGTGGAACTGAGGGGTAAATAATGCAAAAAACCTTTGTGAAAAACAAAGTTTTATTTTCACAGAACTTTTTAAAGAAATGAAAGGTTTACAAATGATAAGCCTTTGTATTCGCCTTTGGATAATTCATAAAAAGAGATGGGAGGAAGGAACTTTATTTATAAAGGATATTCTGGCACCAGAAGAGCTTAGAGTGAGCAGAGCTTTGGACAGACAGGCATGCAGACCAGAACAGAGACAATTTTAATCATACTTAGCTAAGTCATTAATTCCTAAATTGAAGAGAGAAAATTAGATGTTTGTAGAAGGTTATTTTGTGATAGTAAAAGATTAAGCAATCTAAATTCCTGTCAGCAGAATACAGGTTAAAAAAATTATGGCACATTCACACAATATGCAGCTATAAAAAAGAAAAGTTTTTCTGTGTATTGATATGAAATGATTTCCAAGATAAACTGTCAAGAGAAAAAAAGCAAGGGGCAGAATTGAGTATAGGGTGCTATTTGTGAAATGTAGAGAAAAGCCCATAGTGTCCATGAATAAAATATCTTTAGCTGCTAACACTGGTTGCCTTCAGGCAGTGGCACAGGGGTGAGACTTTTACTGATAACATTTTCTATCTCTTGGATTTTGAAACAATGTATTACCTCTATTCAAAAGACAAGAACATGTAAAAAGTTAAAATGAATAGCAAAAAAGTGGGAATTGAAAATAAATAGAATTCTGCTACCTATCATTTGCAGTTTGGCGGGTAGGTGTGCTGACGTTCACACTTTAGTAAAATTTTTATACCAACTTATTCCGTAGTGGTCACAGTCATTCTCAACAAATGCAATTACAGTGATCAAAATTTGAACAACGAACTCTTGCAGGCATTGTTACAGATATTTGGCTGAGTGGACTTTTGATGATTGCAATAAAAACTCTAATGAAATTAGGTGGTAAATATCAGAAGTTTTAAAACTGTGCGAACTCTGTTCCAGAAATTCCATGTCTAAGAATTTGAGAAAGTCATGAACGTGAAAGAAATTAGCCATAAGGATGTTGATTTAACAAAATGTATAAAATAGGGAAAATGTGAAATAACCTAAGTGTCCTGCAATATACAGTTAGTTAAATAAGTTATAATACATACATACAATGAAATGCTATGCAGCCATTTAAAATGTTGTGAAATAATATCTGAAGTGAGAAGTATCTTCACAAAATACCAAGTGAAAGAGCAGGTTACAAAATAGTATACATAGTATGTTTGTAGTTTGAGAAAGTTCTTTTATATTTTAAAGGCTGTAATTATATACATCCCACTAGTAATGTTATCCATTGGATGGTGATTTCTTTCTTCCTTCTTTTTTTTTTTTGGCTTGTCTATATTTTCCAATTTGTCTACAGTGAACACACAGTAATTAAACCTACTTTGGTGGTTTAAAATATGTCCTCAAATTCCTTGACACTCCCTTCAAAAGGTGGAGCCTAATTCCTCTCCAGCCTCCTGAAAGACCCTGAGTTAGAATCATCCAGCTAAGCCACTCCCAAATTCTTGACCCACAGAAACTGAGATAGTAATTTGTTACACAGCAATAGGTAACTAATACACATAACTTCTACAGTGAGCATATTTAAATTTTAAAAGCTCTAGTATCTAAAATGAGCAAAATCTAGTTAGAACATCTTACAGTGTTGCTTTAACATAGCTGATGTCTGTCTGGGTATGCTGTACTTTACAGCAGGAATTGTGTAGGAACTGAGATGATTAAGACATTAAGGTCCATACACTGTAAATGCAGTTTTTTCTTTGGATAACTAAGACATAGTTATATGAATATAGTGCCTTGCACATATCAGACAAAAAAGAATGAATGAATGAATGAAACTGTTGATCTAAAAGTACAGAATACTATAAAACAAATGGTTAAGTGGTGTTTATATGAAGTTCTAAAGGATTTTAAAGGAATGGACATTCAGTGTGGATGAATGCTTCTGGGAGAAAGTGGCACTTGGTGCCACTTTCACTTAGGTGAAATTAGTTTAAGAAAAATTAAAATTGTAAAGGGCACACTGAGTAGCACAGCACAGATTCAAAGGAAGAAGTAGAATTGAATATGGTGAATTTAGAGGACAGAAGACGTGTGTCACGAACCAGTGTGTTTTTGGAAGTTGTGAGAAACAAACTTAAGAAAATCCAAAAGATGGGGACTTGCCTGGTGGTCCAGTGCCTTCCAATGCAGGGGACGCGAGTTCCATCCCTGGTTGGGGAACTAAGATCCCACATGCTGTGAGGCAACTAAGCCCGCGTGGCACAACTAGAGAGAGAAAACCCACATGCCACAACTAGAGAGAAGCCTGCACACTGCAACGAAAGATCCCGTGTGCCGCAGTGAAGATCCCATGTACCACAGCTAAGACGAGACGCAGACAAAAAAAAAAAAAGCAATAGATGATTTGCAGCACAATATAAGGCATCTAAGCTTTTTGGCCTGCAAGGTTAGAGCAGCACTGAGGGTCTTTATACTATTAAAATGGTCTTCTGAAGATTAATCTGGACATGTCTGAGATATAGCAGAGGGAGACTAGGGGTAAGGAAAAAAATCCTGAAGGCTAAGACAGTGGTGATGTGGACATTATTACTAATTATTTGAGTGCCTATTGTATACCAGGCACTGAGAGCTTTACGTGCGTTATTTCATTTATGCCTCACAAGAACTCTTGAAATAGGTACTGTATCATCCCTATTTTATAGGTAAGGAAACAGATGCTTAGAGTTTAAGCAACTTGTCCAAGTCCATACAGGTGTTTGACTCCAAAGCGAAGACTCCTACCATACCACACTGCCTGAATGTTGGAGACATTTTAAAATAATGAAGTGAGTGAAAGAATTTAAGACTTCCCTGGCAGTCCAGTGGTTAAGACTCCGCACTCCCAATGCAGGGGGCAAGGGTTCCATCCCTGGTTGGGATACTAATCTTGCATGCGCTGCAGAGCAACTGGGCCCGCTTGCCACAACTACAGAGCCCACACATTCTGGAGCCCGTGCACCACAACTAGAGGGCCCGTGCGCTGCAACTACAGAGCCCACGCACTCTGGATCCCGTGCGCCGCAACTAGAGGGCCTGCGCGCCACAACTACAGAGCCCACGCACTCTGGAGCCCATGTGCCACAACTAGAGGGCCTGCGCACCGCAACTAGAGAGAAGCCTGTGCGCTGCAACGGAAGATCCTGTGTGCTGCAGCTAAGACCTGACACAACCAAAAATAAATAAATAAATAAATAAATAAATGTCTGTTTTAAAAAAAGAATAAGTCAGTATACTAAAGAATGAGTTAAGAACAGAAGCTATTGGGAGGATCCCACATGCCGCGGAGCGGCTGGGCCCGTGAGCCATGGCCGCTGAGCCTGCGCGTCCGGAGCCTGTGCTCCGCAACGGGAGAGGCCACAACAGTGAGAGGCCCGCGTACCGCAAAATAATAATAATAATTACCATTTGTAGAGCACCGGTTATGTGCCAAGCCCTTAAGGGTGTCAGACATTTTATATATTTTATCTATAATCCTGTTTGGCGAGGTAACCCAATATTATTCCCATTTTACAAATGCAAAACCTGAAGCATGGTGGAACTTGAAAGTAGCTACCACTCAGAAGTTTGCTGAATGCCAGATTGATGAACACCCATAGCTAGGATTAAAAGTCAAGTTGCTCCTTCCAGAACACCACCCTTCTCCCCCAACAAAGGACTCACCGCTGGGCGCAGAGATCTGACTGAATGCAGAGTGAAGAGAAAGAAAAGAGACCCTGCCATACTCTGCATAATTTTTAAACTATAACCCCAGTTCTTGGACTTGGAGTTTGTGGGTGGTTCTGAACCACAGAAGGATGTCTACAGTTGACGAAAACTGTGATGCTGGGAAGAGTGAATGTTTTTGAGTATCTGTTATGCCAGGTTTTCTAATTAGCTGTATGACCTCTGGAAAGTTACTTGAATTCTGTGCCTCAGAATCCCGTCTGTAAAATGGAGATAGCATTCGCTTCAAAGGATTGCTGTGGGGTCAGCAGCGCAGAGAATTCCTTTGTTCTGCCCACATTCATCTTTGTGACCTCTTTGCAGATAAGAACTCAAATATTTGTGGACTTGAAACAAGTTACCACAGCAACTTAAAAAAAACAAAACACCAGAAGAGTTAAAATGCCATTCTTGCTGCTCTTTAATTAAAAGCCCTAAACAGGCATACCCACTTGGATGTTACTTAATTAACAATCAGTAAGGAAAAGATACTGAACGTAAGCGATGTCGAAAAGAAGTTCTGTTGACCAACATGGACTGTTCCCCTTAGGACCAGAGTTACAGCTGGAGTCAGAGAAAATACTTTTATCAGGTCCTTTGCGTATGGGTATACTGTTGAAAACCAGACAAAAACAAAAATCAATTCTCTTTAGTCCGTGCATAAACACTGGAAGTAAATCCCTTACTTGTATTTTTAGAAAGATGTTTTCTGCGTTTCCTAGCCCCTTCTACCCAACTAAAAAATTCCAAAAGGTAGAATTTTAACTGCCGCCGGGCGACAGGCTGGGAGTTTACGGGGCCCAGCTAATGACTCGCTACGCGGGGCAGCCTCAGGAGGGGGCGACTGTGCCCCGTTCGAGTCGCAGGGGGCGGACTGGAGCGTTACCAGGGCGCTCGCGCGGGCCCGCACGCACCAGCGCTCAGGCGAGACGGGTGCGCGGCCGGGGCTGCAGCTGGCGCTGGCGACGCTGGCGCTGGCCGTTGAGGAGCTTCTGCGCGATCCTGCGCTCGTGGCCGCCGGGCACCCACCAGTTGGTGCGCAGGTCCCGCTCGCGCCGCGTCCGGCCCTTGCTGCGCCCGGCCCCGCAGGCCGGGAAGTCGCGCAGGTAGCAGTAATCCGGACAGTCATAGAGCTCCTCCTCGGAGCCAACCAGCGGCCATGCTTCGGGTGGCGGCGGCTAGGCCTGACCCTGGACACCAGGAAAGGCCGGGTCCATCGCGCCTGGCCTCCAGATCTGCCGCTTGCGCGCCAGTGCGCGCGAGTTTGTGGAGGCCCACCCCCCAGCGCTTCGATTGGCTCCGCCGAAGGGGGCAGGGCCTAGGGCTGACGTCACAGGACCGGGAAGGTACTCAGCGCGAGGCCTCTGCGATCTGGCACCTGGAACCGTGATCGTTTCCTCCATCCCGGCCTGTGCGCCGCCTGAGCGAGAAGGGTATTTGGCAAAATTCGATCAAACACTTGTTTATGTCGGTCAAAAGTGGGACATTATCCAAGTATCAAGTGTGAGGGAGCTGTGCATTCCTCCGGCAGACTTTTATCAGCATTGAACATTTTGTTAGGCTATTTGATGACAGGAGTAAGTGCTCAATAAGTGATGCAAAGTGAAAAATGAGCTTCTGAAGTAATATCTCTGGTATCCCAGTAATATATATTTAAAACATGTCTGGAGTGAAAGAAAATGCGCTGGAATGCTAAAAGTATTTCTGGCTGGTAGGGGCATACACACATTAGTTCTTTTTTCCTTTCCACAGTCCACGTGTTTGGTAAGGGGTATGAATTAACTGTATTAAGCGAGCGAGCGATTAAGAAGGGAAAGTCACCCTGCCTGCTGCAAGGCCGGGAACCGCGTGCAATTTCGGATTATCAGCAGGTGCCCAAGCCCAGCGGCCAGGGGACGCTAAAATTGTGGTAGCTTGATGCGCCGGCAGTTTTGGGGTGAGGGCCGAGAGTTGGGAGCGGCCGCGCGGGGGAACCAGCGCGAGCCCAGCGTCCCACCCGCCAGCCCCGGGTGCGCCCAGCCCCGCGGGCGTTGGGGGAAGGATGCTCCCCGAGAGCTGCAGAGGCGAGAGGAATCAGGCCAAGTGCCCTGCGCTCAGAAAAGGCCAGACCTACCTCCTCGCCGAGGGCAGTTGCACAGCTAAGCAGGAGTCATTAACACCCTGCGGCACCCGAGGCTCTGCGGTGACTACCCGGTCTAATTACCTAATTACTGTCTCCGTAAACGCTGCTCTCAGGGAGTTATTGCGAAGAATGCCTTTGTTTTGGTTTGGTTTAACTAGCGCAGATAATTCTCTTCTCATGAAAATTGCATCTAACCCCTCGGGGATTTTCTTTTTAATAGATCGAAAATAATTCAATACTTAAAAAAAAAAAAAAAGCCCTTTTCAGGTATTTGATCTTGCCGAGTTTCTGTCTGTGACCAAGTTGCCAATTTGAGTTTTTTCCTGCTCTCTGAAGTATCCCTGGTGGGGCGTGGCCTACATACCACGCTCTGAGGGCAATTTTGTTAGTTCCTTAAATGAGCAAATCCCAAGAGAGAGTTTTTAATAAAACGCAGAGAGGATTTTCTCTTCCACCCACGTGCCTTACACCTGCTACTGGGAAAGAGAGAAGCTAATATTTATCCCTCTACCACCCTCCCACACATCATCTCTTTTAAAAACTCTCTTTAGAATTTATGAAAATATTCAGACCTTCTCAGAAGTGAAAATAGAACAAAGAACTCCCGTATCCCATCACACGGATCCAACAATTATCAAGATCCTGTCAGGTTTGCTTTACCCCTTTCTGTTTTGCTCTGTCATTTTACTCCTATATATCTCAATATACAGCTCTAAAAAACTAGACTTTTTTCCGTAACCTCAATGCCATTTTCATACTTGACAAAGTCAACTTGGCCCTGTTGTCATCTAAAACCCAGTCCAGAATCAAATTTCTCGGATTGTCTAAAAGACAATAGAAAACATACAACTCAGAATACATACAGAATCTACACATGAAATTTTCTTGTATGGTGTTTGAGTCTCTTATAATCTAGGGTGGGCCCCTGCCCTTTTCATTTTTCCCTCTCATGACTTGCTGCAAAAACTGGGTCAGTTGTCCTGTAAAATGCCCCACTTTGTGGATTTTTCTGTTTCCTTGTCATGTCATTTAACTTCTTCCTCTCTCTTCCATATTGTGTAAATGGAGGTTGGCTCTAGAGGCTAGGAGGTGATGTGTGTTGATATCACACCAGGAGACCCGCAATAGCTCATGGTCCCAGTTTCAGTGATCAGTAGGCTCAGGTGGTGACAGCCTGCTCCTGCAATTGTATAGTTCCACATTAAGCTTTTATCTAATAGTTTCGACCATAGTTCATTGCTTTATTTGCTGTTGTGTTCATCTGCTATTATCTCATTAGGGGCTGTGAAATGGTAATTTTCTAATTCAATCCTTTCTTCCACATTTATTAGCTAGAATTCTTTCCCTCATGAATCTAGACTCTTTGGTTACCCTGATATACCTTTTTTCTTCCAGTTTTATTGGTATATAGTTGATGTACAGCACTGTATAAGGTGTACAACAAAATGATTTGACTTAATACATCATGAAGTGAAGACCACAGTAAATTTAGTGAACATCCATCATCTCATATAGATACAAAATTGAATAGAAAAACATTTTTTTCCTTGTGATGAGAACTCAGGATTTGCTCTGTTAACTTTTGTATATCACATACTGCAGTGTTAATTATATTTATCATGTTGTATGTTACATCTCTAGTACTTATTTGTCTTATAGCTGGAAGTTTGTATCTTTTGACTACCTTCATCCGATTCCCCCTCCCCCCCCATTCCACTCTCCCACACATTACCACTAGACCTGTCCTACAAGAAATGCTACAGGGATTCCTTCAGGTTGAAATGAAAGGACGCGAGACAGTAACTTGTAGCCAGATATAGACATAAAGATCCCTGTTAAAGGTAAATACATGGGCACATATAAAAACCTATTGTTGGGGCTTCCCTGGTGGCACAGTTGTTGAGAATCCACCTGCCAATACAGGGGACATGGGTTCGATCCCTGGTCCAGGAAGATCCCACATGCTGCGGAGCAACTAAGCTCATGCGCCACGACTACTGAGCCTGTGCTCTAGAGCCCGTGAGCCACAACTACTGAGCCGGCGTGCTGCAACTAGTGAAGCCCGCGCGCCTAGAGCCCGTGCTCCACAACGAGAGAAGCCACCACAATGAGAAATCCGCGCACTGCAACGAAGAGTAGCCCCCACTCACCGCAACTAGGGAAAGCCCACGCGCAGCAAGGAAGACCCAACACAGCCAAAAATAAATAAATAAATAAAACCTATTGTTATAAATTTTTTTGTAACCCCACTTTTAATTTTTCACAGGATTTAAGAGACAAATGCTACAGTAATCAAAACATGTAGTACTGGAATAAGGCAGACATATACACCAATGGAACAGAATAGAGAACCCAGAAATAAGCTCTTGCATATATGATCAAATGCTTTTCAACATTTGGTTCTGGGTAAACTGGATATCCATATGCAAAATAATGAAATTGGACCTTTACCTTACATCCAATACAAAAATTAACTCAAAGTGAATCAAAGACCTAAACATAAGCTCTAAATCCATAAAACTCTTAGAAGCAAACATAGTGGAAAAGCTTTATGACATTGGATTTGGCAACGATTTCTTGGATATGACACCAAAAGCACAGACAACAAAAGAAAAAATAGATAAATTAGACTTCATCAAACTTGAAAACTTTTGTGCATCAAAGAACACTATGAAGAGAGTGAAAAAGCAACTTATGGAATGAAAGAAAGTATTTGCAAATCATTTACCTGATAAGGGTTTAATATCCAGAATATATGAAGAACTCCTACAGCTCAACAACAACCAAAAAACAACCCAGTTTAAAAATGGGCAACAGACTTGAATATACATTTCTCCTTTCCTAACCTTCCTTGCCATATTGATTTCTAGCCCCCTGTGGTACTCCAGCAACTATGATAAACAATATAGGGTCTGTGCCAGTTACCAATTTATTGCCTTTTGGCTCCAAATTCACCCTTCATTGCTTGCTGTGCAAGAATTGGAGCTGGACCATTTAAGTATTTTTTTCTTTACCAGTTGGCACAATGTTAGTCTTTGTCAGGTGAGGGCTCTGGAGAGTAATTGCAAGAGGAAGGGGTTTCCCTTCTCATTCTAATATACTCTTTCAGCAGGCTCCTGCAGCATGCATGGGTTCCTTAGTGCTCAGCTCCTGCAGTGCAGATGGCTTCCCCAGCCCCAGGGTTCTGCAGCTCATGTAGCTCTTCCAGAGCCCCGCTCCTGCAGTGACAGTGGCCAGCACCACCCAGCCAGTCGTTTTCCCCTGAATCCTCCCATCCTTGGTTGCCTTTGTGTCAGGGTGCCTCCACTGAGATACCTCTCCAAGAATGACTTTCCTTGACACCCTAGAAGGTAGGTTTCTGGCAAGTTCTGGAGGGCAAATTTCCAGCAACTACCATTGCTGTGTAAAGCTCAGCTTCTCTGTTCACCGGTCCCAAATCTCAGACACAGAGTTTTGGGTAAAGTAGAAAAGGATAGCTTTATTACTTTGCCAGGCAAAGGGGGACTCCTGCCTGGAAAAACTCTGTGTCCCAACCCGGGATGATTTGATGAGGGCTTTTAAAACAGTGGTTCAAAGGTGGGGTCTCTGACAAGATTAGGGTGTGCACCCCGCTTGCACTCCCTTAATCTCATCTCAGATGGTGGGTCTCCTAATCTTGGTGGGCTTCTCTGGTCCCTTTCATCTCACCTCAGCTGGTTTCCTGGCTGCTCCTCCCTTGATGAGCAACTGTTCAAATCTGCCCTTCAGAACTCCGGGAAGGTCATGGAGATTGGAGTCTTGCCTATAAGAAACAGGGGACAAAAGGGCCTCTATACCTGGGAGCCTCACAGGGCCTCACTCGGTTTCACCACTGGCCCAGCACTGAGCAACTTCTGTGCCATCCAGTTATCCACAGCTGTGTAACTCTCCAACAAGGTCTGGATCTCAGCCCTGGTCCTCTACCTCAGCTTAGGGTGTGATGGATGCACCTTATATATGCCGATCCTATATTCTTTAGAGTTCTCTTTACTTTTTGGCTAGCAGCTAATCCCACTTTACTCAAATCCCCTATTATAGTTAACACTTATATGTATTAAAATTTCGCTGTTCAAATTG